GCGTTGTGGACCACGGCATGTGGATGGCCATGGGTCCTGGCAGCAGGCTCCACCAGAGAACTGGACCAAGAACAGCTTGAAAGTAAGCAGTGGTCCTTTTGTGAAAAGTGCTTGTGGGAGTAAGAAGCATGACACGGCATCGAGCTTGCATGGCGGAAACAAGCGAGTGGATCTGTGCGTTAAATCGTGGGCCGTTGAGCGCATTTATTCATTCGGTGTGTGCTGGGCCCGTGAGCCATGCAGAGGTCTGAGGGACCAGCTGGCGAACGAGGCGAAGCACGGAATCACCACAGTCACAGGGCCCTAAGATTCGTGAACGCGTTTCCGCCATTTTGCGAGAATATAAAAGAAGGGAGGTTGGGCGGGGGATTCACATGCCTGGCATATGCTTGTTATGAAACCACGAGTGGTGCAAGAACAAGCATGAAGGCATGTAAGGTGGCCTGTGGCTAAGATTGGTCACCACGTGGCCATTTTGGCGAAAGCCTCCCCGGCAAATCAGTTTGTGCCCCACCCACCCAACCCGGAGTGGATCTGTGCGTTAAATCGTGGGCCGTTGAGCGCATTTATTCATTCGGTGTGTGCTGAGCCCGTGAGCCATGCAGAGGTCTAAGGGACCAGCTGGCGAACGAGGCGAAGCACGGAATCACCACAGTCACAGGGCCCTAAGATTCGTGAACGCGTTTCCGCCATTTTGCGAGAATATAAAAGAAGGGAGGTTGGGCGGGGGATTCACATGCCTGGCATATGCTTGTTTTCATTTTCTCTAGTCTCCTTTCGAAATTGTCTAGTCTCCCCTCCCCTCCCCTAACTCTCCTTTCCTTTCCCTTCCCTTCCTTGCCCTTCCAGTCGTTTCCGCTGCCCTTCGTTGCTGCGTCTCACTGCCTTTACCCGGCCGTTTTCCTGCGTTCTTCTCCCCTTCGCTGCCCTCTTCCTTTTCTTCCTCTCTCCGTATCTCTCTGTCTCTCTGTCGCTCTGTTTCTCTGTCTCTCATTCTCTCTTTCTCTTTCCCATTTGTCTTCTTTCTCTCACCTCTGCTGTCCCCGGTCCCTCTTGGTTTCCCTCCGTCTGTCGTTTTGTTTCTTTCCGTCTCTCTCTCTCTCTCTGTGTCTTTCCCTTTGTCACTCTCTCTTTCTTTCCCGGTACGTCTGTGTCTCAGTCTTTCTGTCTCTCCGTCTGTTTGTCTCTCTGTCTTATGTCTCTTTTTTTGTTTTGTTCCTTCGGCCTTGGACCCCAAACCCAGGGCGCGAAAAAGGCCTTGTACGGCCGGCTTGCTTGTTTTTTGCCTCCTGAAAATTGCTTGGTTCCTTCGGCCTTAGGCCCCCGCACTCAGGGCGCGAAGAAACCCCCGTGTGGCCGGTGAGGTAGTTTTTTGCCGCCTTAAGGATTCGTTTGTTCCTTCTGCCCCAGACTCTAGACCCCAAACCTAAGGATCTAAACAGGGCGCGAAAAAGAACCCCAGCGGGAAAGTGAGCATGAGGAGCCTTTTCGGGGTGCAAAAAAAGCCCCGCCCGTAGCTTACGAGTAAAAGTTAGAGGGTTCAAAGGTAGATATCGGTTTGAATGGCTTTCTTCCTCTCCCTACCTTTTTGTGGCCTTGTCAGTCCTGCCGTTGACCTTTGTAGACTCCCTCGGAATGGCCTTGTAAGCTGGATGCCCGATTTCCCCGAGGCAAAGGATGCTCGTGCGCTCTTCTGCCGCTACCCCCCGCGCTTCTATGGCCATGCCGGGATTTGCAACCAATACACTCAATTCTGCCCGTTTGAGGAACTTCGCATGGAGAGCGACCCGTCTCTTATTGACACGGCTGTCATTAATGTGGATGCAGAGATGTTCCACTCAATGGAGGACGTGTTGACGGAATCCTGCATAAAGGTGTTCTCTTCGTGTGGGGATCAGATGCCGAACAGAAAGGCTTGAGGCGTAGCATTCGTCCAAAGTTATTCATGAGGAGTTACAGGCCGTATGTGATTTGTACTGATATATGTGTACACAGGTCACATTCTGACCTCGCAGGTCATGCATGTGGATTGAAGCTACGGGCAGGGAGGATTCCGTAACACAAATCGAAATGTGTACTACAAAAGAGACAGGAGTGTGGCGTCTTTCAAAGGGAGCTTTGGATCTTCAAGGTGTTCGTGCATTGGTGCCCGCATTGCCAGCAGCTCATGCCGCTCTTGTACCGGCTGGCATTGGTTCTCCGACAGCGTGGGATCAGGGCCTTAAGATTTGGTGCTGTGAATTGTGCCACCGAGCATGAACTATGCGCTGCCCAGAACTGGCCCGGACACCCCTTGCTGATTGCCCGGTACCTGGGACCAGACCGGGCAGTGCACGATGCTATCGAGCATTGGGTCGACGTAGTGAAGGATGCCCAGCTGCGGCAGATGCTGCCGCGTTACGCGCTCCCAGGAGAGTTTCCGGTTCTCAAGATTCTGTTGGAGCAACTGCCTTCATCAATGCTGCCCAAGTCGTCATGGTCCTTCTTGTTCGATGCGGATGCCGAGCATGCGCAATCGTCTGGCTGTGCTAACTTGACAGCCCTGCATCTGGAACACCCGGAGGACTCCGCGGGTGAGAGTGGGGTTGATTAGGACTCTCTGGGTGTTCCTTGCCCATGGCCCATGGCGTGGACAGTTTCAGGGCGTGAGAGGGCAGCTGGGGCATAAACCAGTCCAGTCTTCCGAAGCAGTTTTCAATTGTCAAGATTTGTAGTCTGGGGTGTGTCTCCAAGGGAGCTGATGATCGAGTTGGCAATGGCTGGCACGATGCCGAGCGTAACTTCACCACCAGACGGCGATGGACAGACGCCATGCTCATGCTGAGGCATGTCCTTCAGGAGTGGATCGCACCACTTGGAGATGACGGCAATGCAGATGCCTTTTCTCATGGGCAGTTGCTGATCATGGAATCCTGGGTAGAGTTGCTGGCCAGGAATCTGCCAGATGCTTTTGGCTTGGCCGATCCCTTGCAGGAACTTCAGAGTGCCTTGCTGCAAAGGGTCCGTGCCGCGCAGAGACCGGAAGGCAGCTCGCTCTGTGCGGACGAGTGGAAGTTGTTGACGGCACCGGTGCTGACTCGAATAGCTGAAGTTGGCCAGAGAGACTTCGTCGTGGCTTCTGCTTGCGCTTCTGACACCTGCAGGATGTGGAGTTTGCTCCACACGCTTGCTTCAGAAGGCTTCCGACGGGAGCAAGGGGAGCTGTCTTCAAAAAGCGAGTTGATTCTGTCGCCCTCTTCTCCAGATGTGACCCTCAGCTGCTCCAATTTCACATGGCATCACATGTCTGACTGAAGTCGTGGACTCAAAACAAGTGAAGTTTTGGGGCGATCTGGCTGCATGGCTGTCGACATGATAGCCGTGCCGTTAACAGAGCATTATTTACCTTTGTCAAAGTTTGCTTCACCCTTGGAATTTGCAAGGATGATGCAAACTGTGCACGACTTCCTTGAACAGTTCTTCAAGTGCCACTACTGCCGGCGCCACTTTCTGAAAAACTTCGAAGCCGGATCATTTGGCCGTGATCTTGCCAAGACCTCCCGCCGGCAGGCTGTGCACTGAGCTATTCCGTGCTTGCCCCGAGAAGGGGCAACGTTTCTGTCTCGGTTTTGTCCCCCGGTAGCCATCACCCCGAGGTTTCGTAATGTGAAGATTTGGAGGTGAGCCTTTCATACGCACGCCTGTATCTGTCGGCTGCAGGTCGTTTTGTACTTCTGGCGCTTTCACAATGCTGTTTCTGTCCGGGTGACTGCCTGGCATAGTTGCAACACTACGGACCGGCGCTGGCCGCCGTCATCGGTGTGCCCGAGGCGCGGTGGGGCTTCCCCGTAAACAAATCCACAAAAAGATGTGCAGGCAAGCAGGGTTCGCATGGGAATGGTTATGTTATATATATATATATTATACATATGTGTATATCCGCGGAAGGTGCGTTGTTATGGCCTGAGTGGAATGGGAATGCGACATGAGGCGAACGGTTTCAGAGACTCAAACAGGCATTCAGGCAAGGATTGGTAGCATGGAGTGCTTCGCACCTTTGGCCTTTTGTGATGCGCAGGTGCTGGGAACAGACTGCAGACGACTGGCCGGTGCTGTCCGCTTGGCAAATCTTGCACTCTCTTTCGGTGTCGGTTGGGTCAGTTTCCTTGCTTCGATCATGGTTGCACATCGTTCCACTGCTGGTTGTGACCACGGAGTGCAGCAGGCTTTTGGTGGAGGAAGGTGGAGGATCAGGCCAAAGGTATCTACCATTGAAGTCCGATTCGGATATTCTACTGGTGCCCAGGGCCTTCTTTCTGACCAGTGCCTGAGGCAGTTGGAAGGTTCTCACGTGCACCACGACGCTTAAGCCATGAATCTGCTACAGGTACTGTCCTGCCCCCAACAGAATCACTTCATGCCAAGGTCTGAAGCGAGGGACGTGGTCCGGGGTGGCGCATCTCGAGCACTCGACTTGAAATCAGCGCCTAATGAAGAGGAGATTCTAAAGTTTCTGCAGTCGGCCTTTGCAGAACCCGACGACCTCTCATGAGAGAGCAAACTGCTGCCTGGCTTGCTGGAGGTATATTTCGCCAGGATAAGTTTGATGTTTCCTATCCGGTGATGGTGTGGCCATGGATCCCATGCAGTGCCAGTTCGTGTGCCCGGCTGTGGAGAAAAGTGCCAGTGCTTCATGTTGAGCCTCCAGATTCGGTTGAATGGTGGTATTTGGATATTCGTATGCTACTATTCTGGCATTAATTTGCACTACGGCACTCTGCTCCGAACTTTGGCGTTTCGGCTTCGAAAGGCGGCCACGCAGTCCTGCAGACCCACGTGCGGGCTGTGCTTCAGGGTTGTAGAGTGCGCGTGATGTACGCGTCGGGCGGATTAAGGGAGATGTTGCATGAAGCTATGAAGCCTCCGACCTCACCATCATGGCTGCAGGGCTTTGCAGAACCCGTAAGAAGAAATAGGTTTGCTTTTGGAAGCTGTCTTTGCACGTGCTGGGGAGTCGCTGAATGCCGTGGGTGCCGCGCATCGCTCCAAAAGAGGAGGTCGATGCAGAAGACGCCTCCAAACAGAAGGCCTGCCCGTGCTTTCAAGATGTCCTGCATTTGCTACCGTGCTGTCCTGGCTGGATTACCCTGCAGGACGCCCTGAAGGGGGCGAACTCAGCCGCTTCACGCTGCTCGGATGGTGACGAAAGCATTGTGAAGCTTTGCACACGGCGTTGCATCAAGCGCATACTATGGTCACCAATCAAGGACATGATTCTGCAGCCGAAAGAAACTCGCTAGCAGTGCTGGTTCGACGACAGCAGTGGGATATGATGTATTGGGCCCACGCTAAACAACGTAGAGATACCGCAGTGGGTCAATCAAGGCGGAAGGCATGTCGCCTTCTCCTGTCGTATACTTTACTGACCTTAATACTAAATCTGTTCATGATTCCTGTTCGGCAAGGCGCTGCAAGGGACAAGGCTTTGTCCTGCCTTGTGACACGAGGAGCCGACCTGTGGCTGGAGCCTTGCCGGCACGTGTCACTCTATTGGCTCTCTGATGCCGAGTCCCTACAGGGCCAAGCCCACAAGCTCTCAAGCCTGCGGCTCCTACTCTACAGGGAGCCCACAGGCTCCAGCACTTGACATTGACTGTCGCAAGGGTTTCCGACAAAAGCACAAGAAGAACTCAAAGAGGTGACCCCGAATCGGCCCACCGAATTCCGCTGAACTAAACTCTACATTCGACTTACAAAGCCTCTGCCTCACAGTCCCAAATCCCGAAATTCGAACTGCCAGTCCATTTGGTTTGCCAAGCTGCGAGAATCCAAACTCAACGCCCTTATCAATCCTGTAAGTTATAAGCCTGTAGATGCCTGAAGGCTACTTCAACTTTGTAACCTCGCTGAGAGTTGTTTTTTGTACTCGGAAGCGCAGCGAAACAAGGATCTGCAGTCGCGGAAGTTGCCTGGAAAGAAACTGACCAAGTTCCTTACGGACGCGCTCTATGATGAGACTTGCTGTGTAAGTAGGACAACAAGCACCTACTTTTTTCTACGGGAGGCGTGTGGAGGTGCAGTGCAGAGCGCATGTTCTTCTGACCTGGGACTCGGAAGGGTATTTAAATAATGATCAGGATCAGCAGGCTTTCTCTTTCATGAAGTCGGGACGGGGCGCACAAATCAGTTTTGGCAATGTACTGTACTCGGCTGCTGAGGAAATCCGAAAGCAGCTGCAAAATCCCAAGAAACCAGATCGCCGATGCCTCTCCGCTGAGATGCATAAGATAGCTCGCAACCTCTTCCTTGGGCATATGCTTTGTTTCAGGTATGGGTCACAGGATCATGGGAGGGGGTGGGGGCCGCCGAGGCTGGTATTTCAACGTTGACGTAAGTGGCACAGAGATGAATGCCGATGGCCTCCAGATCCTCGTGACCTTCCTGCGGCTTCGCAGCAGGGATGTAGGATATGGCCGATGCTAGCCATAGCCCGCACTCCAAAAGAGGAGCGTCACGGCCAATACCATCGTTGTTCTCTCCCGGAGACAAGCATTTGTAGGAGCTCTAGCTTCGTTGATGATGCGGCTAATGGCACAAATAGGGAATACACCGAATGAAATGGTTGAGGATGTAGCTGAATGCATGAATGGACATCTATGTCTATGTACGAAGCCTAGATAGAGTAAAACTAACTTAATGCGCCTATGTGCTCCCCTAACTTTGTACAAAAAGCCCTTTTATAACCCCAAGTAAACCATCTTCATTGCCCGAGTTGCGAGAGCTTAAACCCCAAGAAAGGAAGCTTTTGCTGTGTTCCCTTTATGACAAAGACTCCGCCTCTGAGGAAGCGCCTCTTCGAGGCCACCCTTCGGGAGCCTTTTTGGAAATTTTTAGTCTGGGGGTTTCCTTAGTAGTGGAGGTTCAGATGAGGTCGTAAGGACCTTCGGCATGCAAGGACCTCCCTGGTAGGGTAGGAGGGCCTGCCATGCAAATATCTTCCGCTTGCCAGGCAGATCCGCCGGTTTGCGTTCATAGCCTGCGCTGCTACAATAATGGCGACTTCACTGTAATGGAGCGTTTTTTCGGTGGACGCAAAAGCACATCTCTCAGATGCGTCGCCGTTGACAGTGTGCCTTGTCTTGCTCACTTAGACCTGGGTGATACGGGGGCGGAGCACATTGCCGAGATGATCTTGGCCCAGCCTTTTGCTGTGTACGAGCTCCATTTGAGTGACAGCAGGAGCAGAACCTGCTGCTTCTCGGAATCTGTGCATTCAAAAATCACACATCCTACTGCCACCATGCCTTGGCCTTGACCTTCCGTACACCCCGCCTGCGGCGATGGCCGCCTTTTGATTTCCTCACATCGTCGCTTGCAGGATGTCGGAGCTAGGGGCCGCAATGGTGATCTTGTCCGTCTGTGTGGCCACTGATCGGTATCCGTTTCAAGTGAAGCATCGGTGGAGCCTCGACAGAGCATGACACCATCGCCTGTTGCAGGTTATGTTGAACATGCAGTCGACGGAGCAAGTATCATGTGTCTACTTGCTTCCGGCCTAGATAAGGACTGGATGCTGGATGCGTGGGGCTCTTAGACGCTTGACACACTGCCTGCATGCGAAAGGTAATGTGGGTTTATTCAAGCTCTGTGTACAGGACTCGAGAACAACTACGTCAGTGCACCGGATGCGCTGCTAACTGCCATGCGAGCGGCAATGCCGAGCAATGAATGGAGCGAGCCCGTGGTGCGGATCGAAAGCATTGCAGTCGCCTCAGCTTGCCAGGCCAGGCTGTCCAGCGGGCTTGTTGCTCGAGCCTTGTGCCTGACTTCAGCCCAAAGAGGCGCAAGCAAAGGCCGAATCGGTGACACCCTCTGCAGATGTGCGAGTGCAGGGGTTTAGAACAGCAGTAGTGCCAATAGTGGTGAGATTCCAAGCGATTGAAGTTGGAAGCTAGCTTCCCAACCATGCTTGCGAAGACCGCGTGTCCCAAGCCTCGACGCAGGTTGCAAAGGTAGCATTTCAGATCTTGCATTTCAGTATCCGCGAAGCTTTACGCACGCAAGGTCCGTGGGGACCGAACATGGGGACGGGCTCACGGTCCTAGCTGGGCCACGTCGGCTGAGGCAGAGGGCTCAAAGCTGTTGGAGGATTTGGGAGTTCATAGGAAGAACGAAGGATCCTCGTGACAACGATAGATGCGATGCTGCTTAGGTGGTGAAGTGTGTTATAGCCAACCGTCAGCTCAACAGCTGCAGATGCCAGGTGACACCGCAAGCTTTGTTGCCACGTGGCGGCACGATGCAGCTCCCGGATAGCTATAATGTGCAGGGTTTGATGCGCTTGGTGACTCGGGCATGCGAGAACCGAGCCGCTTGCATCGTCTTCCTCTGCAGCATGTTCGTTGCGATCCTGCCTGTCTTCCTTCGACTAGGCAGTCGTGCGTGCTGGTGTGGATCGCCTTGTTCGATTCATTCGTCGCAGTGACGGTCGGTTCAGCATCAGCTAGAACCCAGCAGCCTTCTGACTCTGAAAGACAGACGGGAGTGGCGTGGGGTTGAGCTTTAACCTACGATTAGACGCGGACATCGAAAACGCCCCGTTGCTCGAGCTTTCCCATTATCCAGCATCTCCTTGCTTTAAAGATCATGGGTCGGTCAGTCGTTGATTATTGCAGACTCAACCTGGCCACGCAGCGATCTCTTTTCGCTTTCCTGCACTTTTCTTATCGCTTATCGTCAAAATTCTGCCGGGGATGTAGACGCAGTATACACAATAGACTGGGCGAAAACGAGAGCCTGCTGGCAGGTTTTTCTAGATTCTAGATGCTTCCCATTCAGAACTCTTGAAGCCAGATTGGTCGCAGGTGCATGTTTCGGGCTCCGAGGTATACATTTGATGAGCAGAAAGGTGTGATGAGTGCTGGCTATGGGAAGAAGGACTCAGTTTCTGCCGGCACGAGGTTCGGCCTTGATAGCCTGATTTCCGGACGAGGGGTTCGGACTCGCGTGTGATCGTCTCCTGCCCCGCAACATTCGGAATTACCGGAGCACAGGAGAGCGCTGCAGTCATCCGAGCAGCACGACGTGCCGCCGAGAGTGCCCGTGAGGCTGCTGAAAGCTGACTGGGCTGTGGAGGGAAAGACTCTAAAGACTATGGATTGCATCCAGCAGCATCATGCATGCCTCGGAGGCAGTGTTGGAGATGCACAAGAGGATCTGCGGTGATGATAAACCAGAAGGCCATGCCAAGTCTTGGGTACAGTCAGTTTGCTCTTTTGCTCTCCTCACCGAATTCCCCAAAACCTCCATCTCCGTTTCTTGGCACATTTCCCGAGAGTTTCAGGACTTGCATCGCAGCGAATGTTAGCGGTAGTCCCTAGTATCTCTGGGATTGGTCGGGAGTCTGCACGTAGCCGAGGCAGGAGAGTCTCAAACACAGCATGTGCCAGGGGTGAGGTGTGACGCTGGGGTTAAGCCGTGTTCCCTGGTTATTTTACGAGACATGGAAGTCATGAGGGCGCAGTATGTTAAACCTTACACCCTGAGACCTCATTAACATACCCTCAAATCTAAATGCTCAGCAATGCAGGAGGCATAAACATCACGGGGGTTGTGGAGCTTTGTGTAGTTGATGTATTTAACCCTTCGATTTGTTGCAATGATCCTGCATCTAGTCATTCCCTTCGAGATCCCCCGTCTTTCAAACAATCCATTTTGGTGTCCCAGACTATATATACCCTGCCAGGCAGGTTCAGTCCTAGCGATGCAGGACATCAACAGCCATTGAACAGCCTCACCTGCAGAGTCCGAGTTGCGAGAGTCTATGCAAACAAAAACGTGCAGGGCGACCTAGTCCCAGTCAGCTAAGCGGGTGGGAAAAGCTTGAATCCCGATGGCACCAGTCAGGGTACGCATAGATTGAGTCTGCATGAGCAGCCTCAACCTTCAAGTCAAAACCTTTGACAATAAATCCTGATGCGAGAGGGGACAAAAATCCCTGACTCCTAAACCGTTGAGCCCAAGCCCGAACTCTGCGCATCAAAACGTCGACGCCACAACAGAAACCGGCGGTTGGGCTTTCAAAGGAGAGCCGATGCCTGCACGAGTTCGGCAGCCGGAGGATCGCGTGGTTGTTGCCCGCTGGAGGCAGGGAGCCACTTGGGGGTCGTAGGGTCTTTGTCGTCAAGTCTAGGGTTTCAGGTTTGGAGACTTCAGCGTTCCGAGAGGTCCGAGCTCTACTCGAAGTACTTCACCAGTTCAACAGCTCTCATCTACTGTCTGAGAATGGACCTAACACATGCAGTCTTTGCGAGCAGCGTTCCCTCATCCGGGCTCCATCACCAATCGCCTGAGAAGCCCTGTTTACCCCTGTTGCCCCGAGACCGTTTTCCGAAGTCGCATTATGAGAAAGCAACGCTTAGTTCGAGAGAGTTCGAGCACAGCCGGCAAGATGTCAAGATATCTCTGTCGTTCGATTCGTTTGATGTTCCAGGCATCCGTTTGTTGCCGTCGCTGCTGGGTGAACCTGTGGAGGCGAGACGGTGACGAAGGGGCCGCTGAGGCAGAGCGAGCTCCGGCATGGCCTTCTGAGCAGACACGCGAGCGAGCTGAGCGAGCTCCTAAAGTCTCGGACATCCGCTCCTTCAGGAGAGGTCTGGCTTTCGGATTCTTAGGGGCCACGGGATCGGGTCGGGTGTCCGAGGCGCCATGAGGTTTTGTTACAGTTCTGGTACCCACGCCGCATCTGCAGGTCGAGGAAGCAGTGATAATTGAATGGGCAGATGTGTGTGCCTATAAGCTTGGGCACAGGACGGCGGTCAACAGCCTAAGGCCACAGGCAGAGTCCAGGACAGCCGAAAAGCATGACGAGGGAGACTAGGGCTGTGCTCGTCACTCTTGTGTCTCTAAGGCTGGAACTATGGGCCCCTAACATGGACCCTTAGGCCTTTCAGTGCTGCTCTAGAGACCCTTCATGGTACATACAGGGTATATAGTAGGTACATAAGGCTCCCAGGGTTACGGGCCCACACTAGGGGCCCATGGCTTCAACCTTAGAGTGTCCCTATTGCATTTCCTTGCTGGGTGATGTAGCGATTGTCTGGTCGGCATCACTGGTGGTACTAGTTTAGTAGTCGTCGTCGCAGTGGTGCTGGCCGTCGTCGTCAAATTCCCGATTGTGATTGGGCTTGGTTGTAGTTGTTGCGGTGGTGGCGCCGGCTGTGGTGGTGGTCGCGGCGGTAATAACTGCTGGTGATAGTAGTGGCTTTCTTCGTGGTCGTCGTCTTAATGGTAGTCACAGTGGGAGTGGCATGGTTTCATTTTCGGTTTTGTTTCGGTGTGGAAGTATGCGTTATCCGTTTCTGGTTCCGAAAAAACGCGAGCAAGCCAAGCCAGCCTGATGAGGGGAGGGTTGAAGCAATGAGATCAACCGCCATCGCAATCGCTTTATGCGGATTGCTATTACTAGTGCTTTGCAAGTATATAAATACTCTTTCTATCTATTGCCTAGTTCGTTGGCGGGTGTCCGAAATTAGATCGACCGCCACCATGAGGTGGGTTCAGAAACGATGGGATCCACAGTCATCGCGACAGAGCTCGAGGGGGCGGGTTGAAGACACAGTTTCCAGTGTTTTCAGGGCATCATCACACAATGGTTCCCTCATGTAGTGGTCGCAATGTTTCAGCGCCTTGTCATATGAGTTCAAGCATTTTCAGGACACCATGACCACAATAATGCTACCAGACTCAGGATGGGCATGGAACGATTCGTGCTGCTGATGGTGTTTTTGATGATGAACACGGCAAGGATGATGATCGTTATGCTGGTACCGATGTTCATGCTGCTGCTGTTGATGATGTCGTGGAGGAGGATTCAGACGACAATGCGGGGGATGATGAGGGTATCCATCATCATGTTGATGGCGATGCTGCCAGCTGCTCACAAAACACTGCTTTAATTAGTTTGAACATCTCTTGTGTTTGCAAAGTCTGCGGCGCAGGGAAACTGCAGCGTCCGCTCAGACAGCGGGCAAAGGTGGCTATACGAGGTTCGGACAGGCGGCGGGGCACGGACCAGACCCCCGCCTGCAAAGTATCGGGTCAAGAAAAATGAGCTGGGTTTGCAGCTGCTGTTGAGGCTTAGTCTAGAGCTTGCGTTACCCAGCTTAGGCCCACAAACCGACAAGGCCTGCTGCATGACAGAACGATATTGCGGCTGCATTTTTGAGTGTTTGTCTCCACGACTGCTGCCCTGAGGGAAGAACATGATTCCCATGAGTACGCATATGCTATTGGATCTGGCTTTGGGAAGGGCGTGAGCCCTCCCAAGGGGACAGCCACCAGTCAGCACGTCGAGACCGTTCGCTCTATACTAAAGTACCAGTAGTATATTATACTTTGTTGTTATAGTATAGATAGCATATTATAGTATATTACAGTCTATTATAGTATATTATGGTATATTATAGTATATTATTATATTATATAATTAGGCAGTTTCAGCCATCTCTTCGCTCTCTTAGCGGCAAAGGCTGCGAAGGGGAAGTTGAATGTGGTGCACCCCAGCGAAGAGGAAGAGCGTCCGGCCACAGCGAAGACTCCTGCTGGCAAAGGAGACGCCGCTACCCTGCAGAAACGGCACGTTCGGATCTGTGAAAGCGGTTAAGTGGCGGTTAAGAGCGACCATCATGTAGCCAAGGTGCAGAAAGGAAAGCAAAGGCCTTGCTTTCGCACAAAATTTCCCAGCAAGGTGTGATGCCACAGTGTTTCTGGAAGGTCGAAAGATTCGAAAGGATCTGGCAAGCTCGTTTGGAAGACGAAGCCTGCGGCCGTGGCCCTAGCTGGTCAAGAGCCTGAAGTGAGAGCTTCGCTTAGAGACTCCGCCAGGGCTTTCAAGGAAGGCCTTTTCGTATGTTTTCCTGGCTTTGCATGACCGGTTCGCACCGTTTTTTCGCCAGGACTCCTCTAGGCCTCTAGGTTGATGAGCCGGGGCAAGTGGAGCCGAAACCCTGCAGGTCGATTTGTCTGGCATGAGGCATTGACCGGGAGATGTTTCACATGAGGGTTCAGGATGCAAATCCAGAAAGACGGAGAGAAACAGGATAGCAGCCTTGCCGAAGGGCGTTGACACAGATCTCTCCCAGTGGTGTCTTCGGGCTCGAGGCTCTCAAAAACCGCATATCCCGCTTGCTTTGTGATTTTCCTCGTCACTCTTAGCTGAGGATGCAGACGCTCCGTCCGAGGAGCAGAAGAGGCCGGCCGTCATCCGTGTACTTGGGACGTTCAGTTTATGGCTGCCAAACCTTCATGTATAGCAAGAGAAGCTAGGCAAGTCAACGCCGTTGACGCAGTGAAAGCGGTGCTAAGCTGTTTCCTTGCAGGCAAGAAACCGCGCCGAAGGGGGACACCTCCGAGGCCAATTCATTCAAGGATGGGGCCGACACGGCCCCTGCACAGGATGCTGCGAAGCATTCAAAGAGTGCTGAGGATGCAAAAGATTCAAAGCAGGAGAAACCAGACGCAAAGGACGCGAAAGATACAAAGGAGGCAACAGATCCAAAGCAGGAGAAACCAGACGCAAAGGACGCGAAAGATACGAAGGAGGCAAAAGACCCAAAGGGTGGCAAAGATGTGACGGAAGGGAAGGATGCAAAGGAGGGAATGGTTGCACAGGATGCACGGGAGCCGAATAGTGCAGAGGCAGCGGGAGATGCAAAAGCACCGCGACACACAAAGGAAGCAAAGGAACCCAGGAATGACAACGATGAGAAAAGAAGGAAGGGGAAGGACGCTGAAGGCCCGCAGGCTGCCAAGGCCTGGCCTATATTTATTTATGTGTTTATTTATAATATACACACATATATATATATGTACATACTTATATATATATATATATGTGTATATGTATACTATGTTACCCTAGTATACCAATGTAAATATATACATGTAGAATGTTGTACATGGGTTTTTTTGCTCGAAGGTTTCCAGGGTTATCGGGGTTGCAGAAGAAAGAGCATGACCATTTCATGACGCGGTTGCTGCTTAGAGGTTCCAAACAATCCGGGAGCCTCTCTGGCATAGTCAGGGATGTCAGGAGTTGAAGGCTTCTTGGTTTAAATCTGAGGGCTTTGTATTCGGTTTCTTTCGGATTTCGAGTCTTTTATGGTTCCCTCTGGAACCTTTCAAGTGAAGGGCTGCCAGTGCAGTAGGGAAGCATGCCCCACAGCACACGATCACTGCGGGCTCAGCTTAATTAACAGGCTCCTCATGCGTGCTCGGAATGGTCTGTGGGTTGAAGCTTATTTCCCGAGCATGGTTTAAAAGAAGGGGGGTGTGAGTGAAGTGGACCCCAAGTCTAAGTCCCGCCTGGGCAACCCCCGGTGCTACCGGTCGCGGGATGGCCGTGGCCCACAACATGACAAAAGCCAAGGTCACTCTCGGTTTCACTCCTTCCCCTCAGGCTGGAAGGTAAACCCCTGAATGCCTGCCGTCGCAAAAGCAAGGGCCGTCACCTCGTCTCTCTTCTGCTACCCATACTGCTCTCCGGCTCAAGCTTTGGCGACCCTGAGCGCAGGAGGCTGCTGCATCTTCCGAAGCGGGTACCAGGCAGGGATGGCAGGGAAGCAGCGAAGTTCAAGACAAACTTAGGCAGCTTAGGCTTCGCAGTCTGTGCCAGCTCTCCAGGCCTGCAGACTCCAAGCCAGGCCAAGCAGCAGTGACCCCGTCTGCACAGAAAAAGTTACCAGACCGGTGTGGCAGTTGAGGGAATAGCCAGGCTGTGCTTTGTAGATGCAAACAGAAGCAGCTTTGGGGCTTTGGTCGGCAACTCGAGAAACCCATTGGTGTTGCTTTGGTGGTTTCGTCCCGTCAGGCAGTGCAGCATGCACTCCGTAATCCGAGTATCGAGCACTCCCACTGTACGTGTTGTAAACTTTTAGTGATGGCGAGAGTCATCGCTATTCTTAGATCTGTTGATTCCTGCACTTGGCAGGCCCAGTTTGCTTGAACTCAACCCAGCTAAGCTGTGTACGGCTGAAATGGCTGCACTTCTTGGTGAACCGGTGCCCCGTCCCCGCGACATAGTTAGCCCACTATGAGAGAGTCCTGCATGTTTTAGAGGACAAAGACTGAGCCTGAGGCGACAGCTCCAGCTTCAACGCAGCCCTCTACAGCTCCATCGGCCACACTCCCGTCACAGACTACGCCGGCAGCACCTGTCATGCCACAGCCAGAAGCCCCAGAAGTTCCATCGCCGACGCTGATGGCAGCGGATGCCGCCATGCCAAGCGTCATCCCCTTCAGACAGACTGCTCCGCCGTCTGCGAGCTGCACTTGGGAGGATGTACTCTCGATACACGTCTATACATCCCCTGTCTGTGTAGTTTGTACAGCCGAGGCCTCCGCAAAAGGCAAAGACTGGCAAGAACAAGATCGTGATGCCTGGGCCCCCTCCCGGCCTCGACAAAATGGAACAAAATAAGCTCGGGACTGGTGATTTCCGCTTCTTTCGCCACATGAGTATGTTCGCAGCAGCCGGTGGCCGTACAACTTCGAAACATGGTACAGCAGGAACTCCTAGGACAGATGCAATCAGTCCGTGCATCATTCTGAGATTTACACGTTCACACGTACTCAGTTCGTGCATGTTCTAAGTTCAGATTCTGTGCTTGTCCCCCAGCGGGCACCCTGCAGCCCTTGTTTGCTCAGAGATCAGCCTTAGAGATCTTTGCCGCCAGCCCGATCTCAAAGATGCAGCCAGAAGTGGATTCAGTGGAGACAACCTCTGACTCCATGAAGGCCAGTTGGAGGGAACCTTCATAATCTCTCGTCGGCTTTTCGAATCCCTGATGTGAGTGTGTCTGCAGGAGCCGGAGAAGGACAAGAAGTGCCATCTGAAGACTCGCCTAGGATATCAGCCGATCCACCGCGTCCTCATCGACAACTGGCAATCTGGGCTGACAGTAGCTATGGTCGCTGCCTGAGAGTATCAACTCGGACTGTGCAAGGTTACCTACATCAGCTAGCCCTATTTGGAAGACTTGCACAAACATGATCCGACTTGTCCAAGCTTTGTGACGTTTTTGTGTGTTCACTTCTTGTCGCTTGTATCGTCTACGGCTTGGCTTCCGGTCTCAACTGCCAGGCCGGCGGTACTGCATTGTTCAAGTTAGTTGCAACTTGCAAGCGGCTACCAGTTGCATTGGGCAAGGTTTTGCACTTTCACTTCCGAGGTTAGCGTCCCATTGTCGATTTCCCTGGGCATCGCATCCGTGTCGGGTGGTGATCCCGCAGCACCCTTGATGGGCGTGTCAACCGCGTTTTGGGGTGGATTGTGCGCATCATTGTTCAGCTCTAGCGACTTCAACATTATCGGGCCTGCCGGAGCATTGAGTGGAATGCTGAGCAGCGCGACCATCAAATTTGGAGGTGCAGGTGTTTTGCCTTACTTGTCCCTCCTGTCCTCAGCCGTCATTTGCTTGATCTATCTGCTGGGCTTGCAGCGCTACTTGCTCCTTATGCCCACGGCCGTGTTTGAGGGTTTTACGCTCGCAGTGGCTTTCATCATTGGCCTCGGCCAGTTGCAGATGGCTCTGGACTTGAGGCCAGATGGCCACAAATCAGAGCATTTCCACGAGAACGTCCTTCGCTCCATTCAAGCTCTGCACAGCTACAGCCTGGTTGCTCAGAGCCGATGGGGAATGATGTAGGCGGAAGCAGGTGGTTCAAGGTTGTGTCTCTGCCATATGCTTGTCGTAGTGGTCTTGGACTCGAGAGGGTGCCATTTCAGACTCTGAGGCTCCAGCGATTCTGTTCTTCGTCGTCACAGTCTTGCTTCTGACCCTCGTCAAGTATGCCAGCAAAATCCGTGGCAAGTCGATTCCGTGGACTGTGCTCCTGCCGTTGTTCACCATCCTCTTAGGATACCTGTCCGACAAAGATATGCTCGGCGGCATTATTCTTCCTACTTTGAAGGACAAGTACGGGACCTTGCAGGCACGGATTGTCGAGGTGCCATCCGTGCCGCTTGCAGACTTTGCAGCCGGCGATGTCTTCGGCCTGATCCGCAACGCCTTTGGCATTGCCTTCGTGGCAATCTTGGAAACTCTGATTTCTGCGAAGATTGCGGAGCAGAGGATGAACTATCCCTTCGACAGCGGCCGTGAGACGTTCGGATTGATGGTGTGCCATGCTGTATGTGGGGTCGTCGGAGCACTGCCTCCCACGGGTGTGTTTGTACGTACATCGTTGAATGTGCAGCTAGGAGCAACCCACAGGCTATCGCAAATGATCAACGCAATTGCTGTCTTCCTGATCTTTGTGGTCGCTATGCCTGTTTTCTCATACTTGCCGCAGGCGGCTGTGGCTGCGCTCCTTGTCTTTGCCTCCATTCGCATGGCGCCCGTCCACTACATCGCGAAACTCTGGCGCACGGACAAGAAGAGTTGCTTCCTGCTGGTTCTCACCAGCCTGATATGTATCTTTGTGGATCCAGTCTATGGCCTCATCGTGGGTATGGTTGTGGCTCTGCTGAGAAATGCTGCCGAGACCGCACGAGCAGAATCACGGGTGACCCTGGACAAGGCTGAGATGGAGGTAAGCGATACCGGAACACCCCTGAGCGGTCAACATGGGGCCCTTTCTCATTGGGCCACCTCCAGCTTCGATGATGCTGCGAACTTGGGGGTGAAACCTTCGCCGTTGACACGAATCAAGCAGTTGATTGAGAGATTTGCCTGTGGCAAACCCCCGAGGGAGCACAGCAATGCCTTGCACAAGCACAAAACCTTCCGAGGTTTCAAGACGGTTCTCTACGAGCCAATGGGGTCTGTGACTTTCCTTTGTGCAAGCAAACACCTCTCGCGTTTGCAGGCACTTCTTGAGAAGAAGCCGAACAGGCTCATCATTTCCTTGGAGCATGTCACCCGCATAGACATTGATGGTTCCGACAACCTCGCCAAAGCGGTCGAGGAAATCAAGGATGCAGAGTGCGATGTCCGTTTAGTCGTGCCCGAACCTCGATTGATCTTAACTAAGACTTTTTCTACATGTGTCGTCAGAGGAAGCCGAGGCAGTGTACTTCTTGGTAGTGCCAGTTGAAGTGCGACCCAGGAATTGTTGCTGCAGGGTGTAATCCTCCAGAAAGCGCTCTGGGTCGACCAACTTCGGACAGAGGGCCACATCTACAACACGGTTGCGGATGCAAAGCTTGCGGGAGCAGATTGTGAAATCTGAGGCGGGCAAAACGGCCTACGTACGTGTTCTTCCTGCCCGTACCTAGGGACCTATTTAGTGTTTCAAACCAGCCACAAGCTCTGGGAGCCCGAATTCGGTTTTGAAGCGTATAGATACCAGGTTAGCGCAACCAGCCAGCCTGCCTATAAGATGGATGGGATCACGAGAGGCTGCGTACCAGCAGAAGCGGTGCCCAGCAGTGACAAGTCTTTTGAATGGCTGTGCACCTCGTTTAAATCCCTCCCATGGTTCCAAGTTCCATTGGCTTCGTAGCCCTTCACAGGCAGTCAGAGAGCCGGATACCCTTGTAGTTCTCCCAAAAATATTCGTTAGCACTAACACTCTAGTCGGGCCGCAGGAACCTAAGAGCATCAGGCTCTCTCCCTGCTCTTTATGTCATGATGCACCCCACAGCTGTGGGAATCTCAAGGCGCCGGTGCCAGTTCGTTAGGATCTGGATGTTGCCACACCTGGCGGTGGAAGAGATATGTGAAGAACGCAGATCAGGATGCCCCAAGGTGCAGGAGTCATGAACGCGTTTACAGAGAGGTGATTTCTTTTCGTGGTCCGACAGAACTTACTCTAGGCGTCGCTTGCTGGAGCTTTGCTTGTCTTGTGTAGTTGATAACCTGTCTGCCACACACCCTGTGTGTTTTCCTGATTGGCATCCGGCTGGTTGCTTCCAACCACCAGCTGCCCTTTGACAAGTATGTGGCGTGCATAGAATTCGTGATCTGGTTGCGCGAGCGCCGCGGAAACATTTTCTCCTTCATGCTGCTAGTGGTTGTTGCAGTGACGAACATGAGGAGGCTTGCAATATTTGGACATGATTGAACATGTTCCCGTGGCATGGCTCAGTGTACTTTTGGGCATAGCAACTTCCGCTCTTTCAAGGCATTGCCAAGGTGAGGCATGCGTGAGTACTTTAGCAACGTAGCTTGCTGGCAGTTTCCTAGTACAAATCAGTGCGTCGCCCGTTTCCTGCATTGCCGTCGTGCCATGGAGCCGCCTCTGAAACGCAGCAAAAGCGGGAGCTTGTGTCACTCGACGCAGGCGCCTGGCCTTGGGTTTGGTTGCCGTGTACTTTGTGACTTTGGGACTTCGAGTTTGGAACTGCCCTTGGCTTTCCCAACCTTGGAAGCGCAGCCTTGGTAAGAGAAGCCATGGAAGGTGCCAAAACTGGGTTCGCTGGATCCCGCCTCGGGCGGCAAATTGGCGGAAGCTCGACGCATTGCGAAGGAAGGCCGAAATCCCCAAAGCCACTACCATGGCCCGGTGCCCCAAGGACTTCCGGCGCTCTTGCAAAGATGGTGGCCTGGACTGCGACACGATCCATTACTCCGTGCCCAGACCTGCAGGCGCCGGCCCGGCGACCACGGGGCCTCTGCAAGAAGAGAGTGCAGTCTTAGTCTGAGCTGAAGCAAGAGCAGGAGAGAGAGTGCCGTCGCAGTGAGGAGGGCAGCGTCACCGGGACGGAATGTTACTGCGGGGCAGGGTGACGTGTATATTGACCCACTGGATCGAGGGGCACGGGAAAGCTGTGTAAAGTGCATTATCGCTTGACGCATGCGAGCTGCAGGGGACGGAGAAGTCGCAGGCAAAGTGACATGGTTTGGTGCCCTGGCTGCTCCTTCAATTCTGAAGCATGTTTCCCGTGTTGTGTTGTCTTGATGAAGAGAATCCGGAGAGGTGACGTGCAATGGGTCATTGATGGGACTCCTGATCCTGAGAAGGTGCCGGACTTGTGGATTGCAGTTTAGGACGGGTTCTGTGACTTTCCCGGCCGACCTCACAAGCCCCAATTCGAAAAGGACCGGAGCCTCTCGTCCTTTGCATGTTTTGATGAGCAAGCTGAGCCGTCCCTGTTACCGTTTGGAGAATGACTAGCTCATTCGAAACTGGCGCGAGGTGCAGCAGACAATCGACGTCTCCAAAATTCGATATGCTTTTGAAGCTGGCGGGGTCTGGCTAGCACTCTACCGCGATTGTGAAATGCCGTCCCGGATTCGAGAGCGCTTGCTTGGTCGGGGGGTCCGGTTGGGGTGATGGGTTCAATGTGGCCATACCTCGGGAGGCACGACGGCACCACCAGGAGATGAGGCTGGCCATGGTGAAATGGTTGTGTCTCGACTCTCAAGCTTTGCTCGCGTGCTGCTGCTACTGGGCTACCGGTACTGACGCTACTGCTCCTACTGTCAGGGCTGCTAACGCTGACGCTACTGCTAGTCCCGCTTCCACAGATAGCCACCGCAGCTGCTCACTGTTGTTCTGCTGCTCTTGTTGCCTCTGTTGTTGGGCTTGCGGCCTCCGAGGCCTTCAATGGCAATGCCTACATTCGATCCACTCGAACTGGAAGCGCCTCGTTCAGACATGGACCACAAAGCGTTGGGTCTTGTTTTTATCCGTCTCCGCTCTTTTCGAGTTCTTCTGCTAGTGCCTAGGTTCCGAATTTTACAAGACCGTGTATGGCCCCTACATGCGCTGTGAAGCAGCCGGGCTGGTGGGCTGCACGGCCGAAAAAGCAGTTCCCGACGACGTCTCCCCCAAAAAAGGCCGCAGTTTGCCGAGGACCTCCAAATGCCACTCCAGATCTGGTTGCCACCACATTACTGGGAGGCATGATGCTGGGCGAGACGGGACATGATTCTTAAAAGGCTTCATGCCTTGGACTTCTGTCACAATCTGATGTCGCGGAGGTATGACCTGGACTTCTGCCATCAATGACATGTTCTCAACTGTGGTCGGCTGAGAAACGCCGTTGTGAACTTCCGCTTGGGGGCATGGGGGTCGACGGAGTACGTAGGAACCGCAAATGCTGCACGCAAATGCTGCACCATCAGATCGAAAATCGCAGCGGAGCACCGGCGGCCGCATTTGGCGGCATGGTCACCTTCGAAAAGTTGATAGGCAGGCAACCCATGCCAGACAGATAGTCCTCTGACTAAGGCACTTTTGCTTTGATGTCGGTGTAGACTTTTGAGGCCGAGTTATCTTTCCTTCTGCTTGCGTCTTCGTGTATTTGCTGTGCGGCCGACTGTTCTGAGCGCTGAAACGTAACGAGCTGTGTGCGCTGTGCAGGAACAGCAATCGCTCTTCCGTCCACAGAGAAGGAAAACATCTTCGAGGCTAAGGACAAGTACTACCCGTTCGCTCCCCATGTGCCGTGGGCTCGCAAGCCTTTTCTGGCTTCTGCTTGATCTGTTGCACTGCTTCTCTTTGCTGTGGTGGTCCTTGTTGTCACCGTTGGTACTGTTGACATGCTGTGCTGTTGCGCCGCCTTTGTCTGACATCCTGCGAGCTGTTGGGAGGATGATTTCGGACAAGCTGACAAGCCTACCACTGCAAGAGAGGGGACCCGCCGTAATGCCCAGGTGGAGCACAATGTCAATTGCGTAGTTGTCGGCTTCGTTGCCGACATGCCTGCTGTCGAGAAGCAGGGCATCACAGGACTCGAGAAGGCCCAAGAACAGTTTCAAGAAGAGCCTGAGAACGGCACACCAGATGCCCTGCATTCCTCGTGTATAGTTCCATGGCTGAGCCTTAGCAGCCTTAGCCTCTGAGCGAGGTCTTGTACAAGGGAGCCTCTGGATCTGCTGGAGGAGGCGGATTACAGTAGGGCGTGAAAGGGTTGACAATGCCTTGCCATGGCCCCTTAAATGCTCCGTACCAGTACGAGGAGCTGCGGACTTCCTCACCTTGCATGCCCATCTGGTGACGCTGCGGCGCAGCTGCAAGGCAAAAACGCCTCAAGAGGTGCTGCCTCAGGACTGGCATGTGTTCGGCTGTAGGCAGCTCTGCTTCGGCGAAATCTGCGGCCTTTCAGTGTATGGCATATACGCATAAACACAGTTTGAAGGATGTGAAGGAGGTCTACCACCTGGATTCATCCAGCATCGTTTCGAGTTTCAATCTGGAGACTTCTCAGCAGTCGAGGGATGTTCGTTTCAAACTGCCAGCTCAAGCTCGCCTGGGAATCAGGAAGTATGGCTCATCAATGAAAGCATGCAAGAGCACGCTGCGATGTCGGAAGATTCGGTGTGTCCGCTAATCGCACCGCCTCCAAGCACGTGCAACTGCGGCTCGTTTGCAAATCGAAGTCATGACACCACGACACTTCGACCATCACGACTTCCGAGCGCAATGAGTTTGACATGGTAAGAGCGCTCCTCCCATCAGTCTTCTTGGAAAAGGCCCTCGGCCCAAAAGCTGCGCGCTCAGGTTCCGAATGGGTGGTCAACGCATTAGTTGCAACTCGTCGCCAGTCCCTTCTTTGCCTCGTGCATCCGAAGACCGAACAACCGAGGGATACCGAGGGGATAAGAGTGAGAGGCATTGTCATCTGACCTGAGGATGCTGGTGTGACGCACGTCTTTGGTGGACATGGTGGTGCCCTTGTACCACTAGTGAATGCGATCGTGAGCCATCCGAAGGTGCAGTGGGTTTGCACACGAAACGAGGCCAATGCCTCACTCATGGCAGCTGCCTATTCCAAACTGACGGGCAACTTGGGGGTTTGCGTTGCTACATCAGGGCCGGGAGCCTCAAACCTGACAACGGGCCTGCTCGACGCCTTGCAAGATCAGTGCTCGATGATTGCGATTACAGGCCTCAAGCCGAGAGGTGGCATCGGCTACAGCGAATTCCAAGACCTCCAACAGAGTCGCATGTTTGCAGCTGGGGGCCTGCCGCTGAGTCTCGACGTCTCGAGCCCTGATGCCCTGGTACCACTGGTCCGAGATGCTGTCGCGAAGGCACTGTCCCTGCGAACGGTTGTTCATCTGGGCTTGCCAGTAGACGTCCAGGCTGCGAAAAGTCCAGTTCCCTTGAAGCCTTTCTGTGCAGCAGATGTAAGGGATGAGGTTGAGCTGTCAGAGACGCACTCGTATGTCATCAAGAATGTTGCTTCTGAGCTCCGAGCTGCCTCTGGCCGTGGAAGTGGCCGGGTTGTGATCGCCGTGGGCCATCGTGCGGTGGGTGCCGGGAAGGAGATCCTCCAGCTTGCTGAGCGCATCAATGCTCCGGTGCTGACACGGCTTGATGCGAAAGGATGCGTCGACGAGTCTCACAACCTCGTCTTTGGCGTTATCGGTGTACACGGCAAATCTGGACTTGAGCTCGCGACGAAAGTCATTGAGACTTCTCAGTTGGTGATTTCCATTGGTAACCACGACGATACCCTGTTGTTGTGCAACAGGGCTGGCCTGCAAATTCGGCCTATGATCACGTTCGAGCCCGATGCCATGTGCCTACGGATCAATGCAAGATACAGAGCGTTGTACGATGTCGTTGGAAACGTGAAGTTTACTCTCCGTCGACTGTTGACTGAGCTGGGGCCGCAGGAGAAAGACCCTATTGCCAAGAATCCGAGTTTCATGGAGGGCTGGCACAGGCAGGTAGCCTTGGGCCCAGGGTTTGAGGAAGTAGAAACCAGAAACCATCGTAGGCATTCCCGAGACGAGCTGGGCTGCACCCAGATGACTAGCCATTGTTAGAGCCCCCAGGGAGTTGGCCTACAGCGGGATGGACATTGTGACGCCGCTGGACGCTGCCAACCTCCACATGGCACCTCCACCCCGTCATGCGAAACTGGAGCTCCCGGCGGATGCCAAGAAGTTATGGTGTCGAAGTTCGTGTTGGGAGAACCTTTCGGCTGTTGTCTCAAAACCTGTAAGACAGATTGGATGCTTGTTCCCTTAACAGGTCTTAACAGTACGTAGTACTGCTGCAGTGCGCAAGTCTTTCAATGGTTCGGGGTAGCATTTCATGACATCGAAAAGCAGCTGTCCATCACGTCCCATCCATCTAAAGCTGTCTGTAGTTGTCTAGGTAGTTCTTCGATGCCTGGGAATAATACGTGGATTGCCGACATTCTGGTGACCTTTGCGGGTGCCTAGATTCCTTGTCTCCTATTGTCTCCCATCGTCCTCCCGCTTGTGGCTTTCTTTTCCCCTTTCCCTGGGCTCGTTCCTCTTTCTCAAATTCTCGTTTTCTGGCAAATGCTCTAGTCTCTTTCGAGTGGTTAGAATTTCTGCCGCAATAATTCCGCTTCTGTTCGACTGGTTCGCTGCTCTTTCTCAATAACTTTTTTTGGCACAGCCTGTAGTCTCTTTGGAGTGGTTTGCGTCTTTTTGTCAAACATTCTGCTTCCCGTCGTTGATGTCATCTGTCAAAGTCTCGTCAACGTCTCTTGTTTGGGACACATCTTTAGGCGTTTCTTTCTCAGCAGGCTATTTCGTTTCGCTTGTTTTGCTACTCTTTCTCAAATTATCCTCTTTGGCGGTGTGCGTTATCTTATGTTATCTTTCTCAAACAGTCTAGTTCTGTCGCTTGGCTAATTAGTCCTTATCAAGTTATCCGGTCTGTTTTTTGTCCTGTCTCTTTCGCCTGGTGTGCCTTGTGGCTCCAGTCTTCTATTCCCTTTCCGATTCCTGCCGGCGGGTTTGTTCCTTGTTTCCAAACTCCTTTGGTGCATTTCTCTAGTCCCTTTTGGGCGGCCTGCTCCTGTTTCCTGCATTTTCTAAACACTGTCGACAGGTTTGCTCCTCTTTCTCGAGCGTCTTTCTCAACCCCAGCCCTGTTGAATTTCCTCACAGGAGCAAACCGCGTGAACGAGAGTAGGGATTTTGACAGCTGGGCGAATTTGAGTGGGGAAACTGGTGACAGAGAAGCAATCCCGTCTAGGGGGGGCAAAAGATTTGTGAGACAGGAGCAAGCCGGTCGAACCGGCCAATTGTTTTGCGCTTTTCGTGTTACTTGCCAAAGAGATCGAAAAGCCTATAGAGGAAGCCCAAGTTCAGCACAACTAACTGAAGTTGTTAGTTGGGGTTCCGCAGCCGGCTAAACTTTCTGGTCTCAGCTGTTTGGGTTTTCGGTGGTGTAATTTATATGCATGTGCGGACATTTAGCCGAGGTCTGACATCCACAACGGCAAGTGGAAGCTGCACAAAAGAGAATCATCTCGGTTCTTGTGCACGAGCCCAGCCTCGCAAGACCTGTCCCACCCGGACACAGTCATGAAGGAGTTGGGTGGGGACAAATAATCTGAGACAAAGTGCAGACATCACACTGTGACACTGTGACCATCTCTGACCATGCACGATACAGTAGTGTACTGGAGGAGATGTCTCGGCGCATGGAGACCAACGACGTTCTCTGTGTGGATGTTGGTGATGTGACCCTGTGGGCCAGTTTGTCAGCTTGCCTCACCAAGGGACAAAGGACCTTGTCCTCGGAGCGACTAGGGACCATGGGCTACGGCCTTTGCGCGGGCATTGTCGCTAGCCTCGTCCGAGCTGGTGATGGACGAGCTGTCGTCGTCATAGGTGACGGCGGTGTTCAGATGAGCATCAACGAGCTGGGCACTGCGCAGCATCTGTTTGCCAACTCGAACAAGGATTCCCGGGTTTTGCGAACCACGTGTGGTGCGGACAGCCTTCGTCGCTTGCAGATCCGTATTTACTTCTTAATCAGATCAGCTGCAATGAATTTGGTCCAAGCGTCCAATGAAGAGAGGGACCCAGCTTGGTGTGACTGAGGTGGCCGAGAGCACAATCACCGATCATGTTAACAGGTTATTGGCATTGACGTGCAACAGAAATAGCAACGATATGGTTTCGGCTTTGGGAGTAGTAGTAGTAGTAGTAGTAGTAGTAGTAGTAGTAGTGGTAGTAGTAGTAGTAGTAGTAGTAGTAGTAGTAGTAGGCGCCCCCCCTTCCAACCACCTCTGCTACAAACCGTCTTAAGAGCACGTCCGTTTTATTCGGTATTTACGGTACGTGCGTCATGTCATACCACTTCTTCTTGTCTGAACATCCGCTCCTGGATTTTGCAAAGTTGGGCTTCGGATTGGGGTGGGGGGGTCGGGGGGATGGTGACCACATTGTTTCACAGACACACCGAACAAAGTCTCTGCAAGAGCCGTTTCACTCAGTATTTACAGTACTTTCGTGATGTCGGACCCTTTTATATATTCACCATGCCCACTTCTGCACTTTGTGAACTCGACTTTGGGATTTCGGGTGCTTTCGGCGAAAACTCGAGATTGGGTTGGGGGAAGCTGTTTCGGGGGATGATCACGATACTGTTTCGCGGGCACCCCGAACAATGTCTCCACACATAGCGCGCGCACACCACACAGTACTTCAAAAGCATACCCTCCTACGCCCAGGGGGTGTTGGCGAGCTCCTGCCACGTACAGCTGGCATTTCTGTTTTTGATTCTCATAAGATGTTGCGTTTCAGGTTTTAGGAGTGTTAAAACCTTCTTGGCGGCACATGCATTTTGCACGGTATTTACAGCGTGTTCGTACTATCCGACCGCCTGTGCTTTAGCATTTTCTTACCCGTCGAGTTTGCAACTCCAACTGCTGTCGCAATTTTGGGGCCTGAGCCTCTGCAACTTCACCGACTGTGACAGTTAAGGCAAGTGAGCCTCTGCAACTTCTGCAGCTGTCACAGGTAGAGAGCCTGAGCCCCTGCATCTTCTGCAGCTGCCGCAGTTAGGGAGCCTAGAAGCTGCCACTGCCCAGCCCGGTGCGATAGGGCGACACGGATTGTACTCGTGGTTTGGTCAATGGGGACCCAGTGTGCGCTTCCACCGCGGGGGGCAACCACAACCAATACTGGCACGGGGACTCAGTATATGATTGCATCTTGTTGTTGTTGTTGTTGTTGTTGTTGTGCTGCAGCCGCTGACTCTGGTGGCTCTGCCTCTCTTCTGCCTTCTTGACCACTTGTCGACCTTTTTTGCACAACCGTGCCCGAAGCTCACAAACACAGCCAGACCGTGGTCCTGCAGTGTGGAGGTCCTCTGAACCTCTCATGTGCGCGACGGTCCTTCTGGATACGGGGCAGCCGCAGTGGGCAATCCCGCTTGGTGAAGATGGGGATGGGGTCTCATGTGCTTGTCACTTGTCGGCTCAGTGGTACGAGGCAGCACAGCGTGGATGGGTCATCAGCGGAAGTAGCTGAGGAAGCTTACTAGTTCAGACATGTTTCGGTCACAAGGTCAGTTTCACGTCCAGTTGGTGCTTGGTGAGGTAATACACCCGCCCGCGGCGTTCCATTGCAAATCGTGCGTAGCATGTAGCCGTTTTCGTCGTCGTCGTAGTGGGAGTGGTAGTACTGGTAAGAGTCCGCTCAGCACTAACCATATAAAGCAAATCATCGGGACGAAGTTGTAGTCAGGGGCAACGTTGATCGAAGTATTAGCTCTGCAGAAATATTAGTAACCGCAGGTAGCAATCGCAATCGCGATTTCAGTAGTAGCATGGAGTCAGAAATCGAGCAATGATACCGAAAGCGAAGATGGATCGCAGACGCAAGAATCAACAGCAAGCAGTAAGAAGGCAGGTTTAGTGCCTACGGATGCCGCAAGGACCATAGCCTCATTCTTGTCATCCTTGACAACGCAAAGCTCGGCCGGGTTGCCTTCGGATTTGAAGGGGCCTCGGGCCCAGCCAAAGTGTGTGTTTCCAGTATTGTCAGAGACCTCCCAGAACACACCGATATCGCCAGGGTGTTCACCAAAAGAGCCCATGCAGAGGCATTGAGGCACGCCGATTTGCGTCCTGTGCCGGCTGAGGCCCTGGGCTGTGATCTTGGCCCCTCGCCCGACTTCCCAGCCATTGGCAAGGCGTATGGTGGCAACGGCGTGAAGGCCAACATGGGAGGGACACCAGACTCTGCAGCTGCGTACTTGTGTGCAAACTCATGCAGCCACAGCACCAGTGACCAAGACTGCAGCTCAAGGTGGCATCGGCTGCAGATCTTACAGGCAGGGCTGTGGAGCTTGGGCCAAGATGCGTCTTCAATCAGAGGGTTGAGTTGGTCTTTCCTTCATGGGCTGTTGGCTCTTTGCCGCTGTGCTGGCAAGCTCATGTCAGAACGGACTGGCAGCAAGGGGGCGCGCTGCACCGGTTCCGAGCCAGCTTCTAGCTCGCATCGCTTCAGACGCAGTGTAGACCATCGACTCCGGGGTGGGAGACTGAAGACTTGAGATTTGCATCCAGCCAAAACCAAAGATTGGTGTAGCAGACGAAACCTGTATGATACCAACAGGTGCCATGGATGAGGCTTTCAAGTCCACGGGCATCTTCATCCTTCACGCCTGGACCCCTACGGAAGTGCGGGGCCCGAAGGATGTCAGATCCCTGCCGAGGTCCTCATAGATCCGCTGCTGAAGGCTGACATGGCGACGTTCCAGGAGCTCATTTCCTAAGCTTCTGTCAAGAGTCAAGAGGGAAGAGCCTAGTGCGACAGTGTCAAGGCTGTCGATGGTTGCCACAGGACAAGTCAATCACCATGATGGACAGTGGCTGAGCCGGCCACATGAAAAAGTGGTCCTCTATTCGTTTCGCCACATGTATCCAGGTCCAGTCAAGAAGCCGGACGTAGGTGTCGCAGATTCGGCCACAGCAAGGGCAAGATATGTCACTGTAACAGTAAAGGTGCTTCGTTCTTGTTCATCCCTTCTTTTCTGAGAAGGTGTGTACCGGTCTTGACTGCACAGGGCATTCGCACAGCAAAGTGGCACGTTCTTGTTTTCCAATTGCAACGTGCCCTCCTGTTCAATAATTTTGCTTGAAACACACCGCAACCATGCACAGTTCTGGTGCACCGAGGATTGCCTGAGTTTCGGCATGCACGAAGCCCGGTACACTCAAACCCTGACTTCCGTATTTGGTGCCTTCCTCGGCGCCCGATTGGTTGCGTGCTTGGTAGCATGTGTTCTGTAGACGCTGCAAGCGTGTTCGCTTATCAGTTCTGTAAAGACACCCTCGATACATTAGCGCTCGTTCGTTTCGCGCCGCAGCCGGACGCAGACGAGCTGGACAAAAGGCAAGTGCATATGATCTGATTCCAGCAGCGAATGTAAGGAATGGGTGCTGCGGCTTTGGGACGGATAAAGCCGTTCACTTCCACTCTTCGTGTCAAGATGTCCAGGAGCATCTTAACTGAGCCAGCTAGCCTGCTGGTCGCCAGCATCCTGCATCTAACATACACGAACACCATGAGGTCGGAATAGAAGCAATTAGCGCACTGGCGTTTACACAGCAAGGTCGCGAGGACTGCTTCCACTTGTAGCAACAATAGTGGCCGTCGTGCAATTGCAAGATAGTCGTGGTTCTTTCTCACGACTTCAGCATGCATGTTCGTTTTCAGCACGGTGTGTGATGGCCGAAGTCCTCTGCAGCAGCCAGCAGACGCAGCGTCCATCTGCAGCGGACTTCATCTTCGTGGGTGACTGTGGTCTCGAGCTTGTCCACCCCGGTGATTACTCAGATTGCTCCGCCAGTCTGAACCAAACTGGAGCGGACGCCCTGCGCGAAGTCAGCTTTGACAGCGACACGTTCAGTGCTCCCGTGGCCGATTGTGTCCTGGGAGTCTGCACATGCTCCGAAACATGGAGCCCACTGGCGGCCACTGAATTCCAGATTGTGCTTCAGAGTCCCGAAGAAAGGGGTAAGGGTGTCGTGCTAATGGCAGTATTTTCTTCGGAAGATGCAGAGGCCGCTGTCCGAAACATTTGGGAGAAGCTAGAACTGAGTGAGCAGCTGGCCATGAAGAGCTCCGATGCCTACCGGTCTGTGCGTGCGCGGGTGGGGGCTCAGGCAGCCGTGGAGAAGAGCCACTACGATGTCGTAGCTTTCTTGAAGCTTCTGGTAAGCAAGGACTTTTGCCTTCCGACGGCCGATGAAGCTTTGGTGCAAGAAATCGGTACGCTGGCCCTGGATCTGAGGGTGAAGGAGTGCGACAGTTGTCCCATCTGCTTGGAAGCGATTGCTGCAGAAGATGCGGTGATGAGGTGCAGCGGCGCAGGGGGAGGTTTACATCAGCTGCACCATTATTTTCATGCAGAGTGCTTGCGTGAGTGGATTCTTGGCCGCAGCGGCCATGAACAGAAACTGAAAACTATCACCACCCCTTAACCCATCAGCCCCATCCTGCCTTTGGGCCAGCTGTAAGGATCCGGACGGCCTCCAACCCGAAGTGCCCCATGTGCCGCAGCAATTTGCAGTTGAACGGTGCCCGCTTGGAGTGCTTCCTCGAAGGCTGAGCATGCGGCCTTCTTTTGCATGTCCTGGACTAAAATTTGTAGGTCTGGTTTAGGTCCAGATGGAGCGAGAGTGCGAATCATGTTCCTGTGGCATACTTGCCCGTTTCTTGTGTGTAACTGGGCTCTGAGGATTCCCGGAGGCTTCAAGGGGGTCGGGGTGGGGGAGAGAGGACATCTCTACCTTACGCTTGCAGCAAAGGAAGCAAGCAAGTGAAGCCCGCAGAAATTGTAGTTCTCCGACTCGACTGTCTCCAGGCACGGCCACATTATCCGACGACGAAAGAACATATCTCCAGGCATTGCTAGATGGGGCCAGTGCTCGCGCCTGGGGCTGCAGAGGGGATTGGCAGCTCTCCGTGTTGCCGCTTCAAACTTCGGGCTTCCTTGTTCCTGTGTAAATTTGACAACTTTTTCAGAAACCGTAACTTAATACCTTTAAGGACAAGACTGGAGCGACATGAACTTCATAGAGCGCACAGGGTATGCTGGAAGCCTTGCCGCATCCGCAGCTGCAGGATTCGCGCAGGTGAGCGGCTTGCCCCGATACCACAAATTACCCCAACCAAAAATCCCAGCATGTGTACCCTAATAATGTGAGATTGGGAAGCTGTGAAACTTGAAGTTCCCTGAAGGTCCTTTTCTTGCGAAGCGGTTGGGCAAGCGGTGGCTTGGCCCCGCGCACAGACCTGCGTCTGGCCCAGCTAGCCGGAGCAGGACACCGAAAGCTTGTGTCCCGAACGCTAGTTGTCGGAGATTCCGAACTGTCGCAAAGAGTAGCTGCCGACAGAGTTGGGGCAGTTTACGCCGAGGGGGTCTTTTGTTCTGAATCTGAAGCATTGGACAGGAGCAGCAGTGGCTTTCCGCGTCTGGCGTGGAAGATGACCCACGCGATGCAGCAGGCTTCAAGTGTTCAAAGCATCTTATTTTTCGTGCACCCCCGTCTGGGGAGCATTTTTTGGGTGGGCAGCAAGGGCTGCTCGCTCTGATGCTTCTGGCGGTGGGCATTTATTTCTGACCGGGCTCAGAATGCAGCCGACAGAATGCCTCTCAGCCGTGCGCCTTGGTGTACATACCATGCCTGCAGGACAAGGCACGGACAGCGAGTCCAAGCGGTTCAAAAAGCTTCGGCATGGGAGGCCCGCACTGGCACTCTACAGACACAATTGATGATTAATCACAGAGGAAAGACAAGGGCAATAATCTGAGCCGAGGTTTTCTTTCCAATCTTATATAGAACCAAGACAAAGAAGTGCAACGAATGTGTGCTATGTTCTTATCAAAGAACGGAACCGAAGCATGCAGTAGAAATAGGAAGAGACGGGTTTGTTTCACTTCAGTCTTCTTTATCATTCGGCTCTCCCGGGTCTTTTTTCCCACATATGAGGTGAGTGCTTTGTTGACATTGGTTTGCTTAGTTCTAATGCAGGGAGTGAAGCGAATGTAAGCATGAATTCAACGGGCCACGGCCGCCGGGACCACAGAAAGAGCCGCGAGGCATCCAGAATCAGAGCCAGATCGAAAGGTCGCAAGGAGTGGCGTCGATGAAGGCCGAAACTTCAAGGATACACCAAAGCCATCCGAAGAGTCCTTGCGGGGCCCCATCGCACTGGGCCTCCGTCATGCAACCCGCCGCAACCCGCTGAGTCTGGGGGTCCGTGCTGCTCTCTAGTGAGTAGTGTTCGCATTTTCACGCTTGCACAACAGACACTAGCTTTGTATCCATGCATCCATCCTGTTCATGCTTTCTGGGCAGTACTGTTCTCATTTTTACACTCGTTCCCCATTTGTTTTAGTCTTTTGATGCGGTACTAGCATCAGCGTTTGAACCCTCCGCAGCTGTTTTTGCGTCGAACATAGTTCGAGCCACCGCCAGAATATAGTTCGAGCCACTGTGCCGCACGAGAACATTTCCCAAGGCACGTACCCGTAATTGACACTAGAGGCCAGGTGACAACACAACTTGGTGTCACATGGTGTAACTTACTGTGATGTTGGGGGCACGGCGGACCACAGTCGTACTATAGGCGTGTGCGGCAGTTCGACCCCGACGCCATGGGCAGATGCCTTCTGATAAGCTGTTTGGGAATCCAAATTCTGGAGATGCGGCTGGTTTAGTTTCCGGTGTCAGCTGCTGCAGCTTGGATGTGACGGCTAGCTCCGTCGAAAGGTGATGCTCGGCTCAGCGAATTGTGCCGACTCCTGACATGGTAGTGTCTGGCTCAGCAAATGCTTGGTGCCGACTCCTGACATCAAGCGGATGCTCCAGGTCAAGAGCTTTCTCGGAGATTTCACTCTACTCTCGCCCTAACCCCACTTTGAGCAGGCAAGAGGCACTCTGTCCACATTGCTCGGCGATTGCAGCAACCACCATGAACCTTCTTCTTCAACCTTTGTCGTACGGGTGTCATGGCACCCCCTCTGTCGTAAAGGAGCAGGAGGCCGCGGTCGCAGCACTCCCTCGGTAGTAACATCCATGATGCTGCCAGTGGCGAATCCTGACAAAAGCTGTCACCGGTCTCAGCTGAGCCCCAGGAGATGATAAAACTCAGTCTGGCCCTACACTGCTCACATCGACCTGCTTGGGACCTGCTCACCTTGGGATTTCTTGCAACTCGACAAGGCTTTGGAGCCTTGCCGGATTGAGGCGCCTGTCGCTCCCTCGTACTGAGCATTGCGACAGCAATGACTGAAGCAATCTGCTGATGCCCTGCCAAAACACACTTTAACGATGCCGCGATCATGGGCCTCGCTCATCTTGCATGGGCTAGAGCATGCGGAGCGGCGTTGATGCGCTGCACGGGCCGCAAGAGACTTGCATTGCCGTGCCGTCGTCCGCTTTGTTCCGCTTCCAAAAGCAGCTCACCACCTGCCTTGAAAGCTCGCAAGGAACACCGGGGAGCCACCAGCAGAGCTGTCTCTTCAGCACGACAAGCTCTTTCTGTTACCCTTCTCTTGGAGTCAAAGACGATGGTGCGCCCTCCCTATCATCATCTTTCTATGACTGTCCATCGCCCTGCAGAGCATTTCTCTGTATCGAAGAGGAGCATGCTATAGGCATACGCAGGCTCTCCCCCCAACAGACATGATATTGCCGGGCCAGGTTTCAACACCCGCCCGTCGCGAGTCGCTACAACGTGTAGGGCAACCTAGGGGTTCTTTAGACCTTTGAGTTCAGGATTACCCAGGGCCTGCATGTCCTAGCAAATTGGTCTCGGATTTTGTGCCTGCCTTTGCGCAATAACGCAGTGGTAGATCAGAACGCTTGGAACATGTGATTGTATCAGCAGCACGACGTCTGTGAGAAAAACTGTGCATCAGAGTGGTTTCCAGGAGCAGCACGGACGGAGTTCTGATAAGTCTGAGTCAGGCACAGGCCGAAGAGTGTTCTCCGTGGACATCGTGGGCGATGAGATTGACTGCTCTAAAATCACCTCAGCTGCACCTCGTCCGAAAGTCCGGGGCACCGAGTGGCACAAGACTTGCTGAAGCACCTCTCCTGAGAAATCGGTAGGCTGCAGAGCTATTGCTGGTCAAGCAATGTTGTCCAGCTCTGATCCCGGGTGGTGACCTTGCTACTTCGATTCTGGGCTGTTCTTGGTGGCCCTCTCCAAATTGCAATTTCTACTCGCACTCAACTTTCAGAGTGTTGCCGATGCAATAAGACAATGACCCCACTGCACACCTTCGAAAGCCGCAAGTCCCAGGCGCCAGCTGCTTCTTGATCTTCGACCGAAGAGCCAGCATCGCCCTAGGACAGCGGCTGATGGGAGGGTAGCGCCCAAGGCTTCGACCCGATCTCCAGCAAAAGGTAGCTTCCGCCAGGCAGTGGGGTGCTGTGGCTGTTACTAGTCATGTCGGACACAGCTCCTGACAGCTCCTGACATCTGGCGACCTGCCTACAGAGCCGCAGTCGCTGCAGTCGTTTTAGGCGGCCGTGTTGCGATGAAGCGGGAGTGATTCTATCGACAGCACCCACGGATCCCAAAAGCAGCCGCTGTCTCCGCAGGTTTGTGCAACAAGGAGTGGGAGAAAGAGCACGTCTCCAGAATGGGAGGCGAGCCCTCTGGGATGCGAGGCTAGGGCTAGGGCTTCGCTACGAGAGCCCATGGCAGTGTCAGGGATTAGCGGCGGACGTTGTGGGCGACGTCCCGTCTGTCGACACATCCACACTGTTAGAGATGGGCCGGTGACTTGCTGCGGCAAGTAAGTCTTAGCTGAAGCGGGGCCCAAGCCCGTGATCAGAGAGGCCCCACTCCGTGTTCAAGCAGCCTCTGCGCACCAGCGATGCACTTTGGCTTCCATCTCCGAGACTCGGCTTTGGGCCTGGAATGCCAAATTTTCCGAGTGGAGTGCTGCATTCCTCAGGCTCACTTTCTCTTGTACCTATAGCATTAACCCTTCTGGTGCGCATCAACTAACCCTCGCACGTCCGTTGCCGAAGAAGGTCAAAGCTCTTCGAGGACGCTCCACCCCGTGCCACAAACAATTGAGGAAGGCATTCGAACACATTGCATCCAATTGCCGTCATGCAATATATGCAACTGCCAAAGCATCTGCCAGCTTCAGCTTGGCTTCAGCACAAGACTATCCTTTGCTCAAATCCGCTACCGGAATGGCTTCACTGACTGATCTCACACTGAGAAGCGCCACCTTGCACTCGCTGCAGAGTGGTGCCTCATTGAAATCAAGCAGCTGTGGCGAGAAGGCATCGTGTTTGCACGACCTTGGCACTGCCTCGATCCACGTTTCAGCCTGTTGGGGTTCGGCTTGCCAGAGTGGATTAAGGGACCCGTGCAATTTTTCTCCTGTCTTCAGCTTTGACGAGGCAATCGTGGAGTCTTGGTACGGGCCGGCAGGTCATGTCTCTACCATTCTCTACCCGACTCGACTCATTGCATGCGGCCTTGGGCGATAGGGATGAGGGGCCGGTTGGCTCAACCTTGTGTTTAAGCTGAAGGTTAAACCTCGAAGCGTCGGCACGGTTCTGAGTCACTGCACGTCGTGCCCTTCCGCGTGCCCTTCCGCGGACCGTTTTGCAAGCGAACCCTTCTGCAAGAGCATAATCCACTATTGACGTATTGCGATAACGTGCCAGGGAAAGGGACTTCCACTTGCTTCCTGGGCGTGCCTCGGGATTCCTGGAAGCAGACAGATTTGCTGAAGCGGACGTCTCAGTCTGCATCATGGACCTGATGTTTTCAGAACTTTTGCGTTCTCCGAGTGCCCAGAGGCTGGCGATTCTTGGCCATTGATGGCAGGACCCAAGCATGGTAACGGCAGTCGTGGCCGTTTTCGTCCCGCCAATGAAGCCAGACCTCGGAGCTTCACGGTGTCTGATGTCCCTCGTAGCATCCTCAGCCTTACCCTGAGGCCTCCATCTGATTCGGTCTTCACGCCTGAGAGACGACTAGCCCGGTCTCCGACTTGAACTGCTCGCAACATGAATATGTACGACATCGGGCTGTGCCCGGAAACGTCCTGGCTTTGCTGGAAGAACTTGCACCTTGGCCTGGCAGTCGGGCCCCCGATGTGAAGAAGATTGCATGTCTATAGACTTCAGGGTTTAGGGTTTATAAAGGCGATTGCACAAGTCCTGATGCAAAAAGTGTGTATAAAGTGCACTTGAAGTCCTTGAAGCTGCCTGTCTCCTGAGCACTGGGCCGGGGAGCTGTTTCCGCCCGCCGGGTGGCTGTGCTTGGAGCCTGTACAGCCCTGCAGATACAATGTGACCCCTCCCCCTGATCTTCTGTGCTTCGAAGGCTTTGAAGGTGAGAACGACAGGGCTTCTTGTGTCTCGGAAAACACGTTGTTATTCATGTTTCTGCTTTGGAAGCGAAACTGTCGGAGAAGACGCTGTTTCATCGTATTTTATGCGCTTTCAA